CTCCAACACTCCCTGGGACAGGGGACAGGGACATTACCCGGCTCACCGGGAAGGGCCAGCGTGGAGAGGCCTTAAGGAACAGTGATCAGCAAACAGGAAGGAATTAAAACGTCTCCTACCAGCGGAAGATAAGCCTTTTATAGGGGACAGGCTGAGCAAGATTTTTTAAAAACTTGTCCCCTGGAGAACAAAGAAGGCCTTCTTTTCCTCTGTTGCATGGTGATGTTGGGGGGGTGGGTAAGGAAGCTGGGAGCCTAAGGCAGCCTTTGAAATTCCCATTGAATTTAACAGCCAACGTTTGTGCTGTGCTTGTGTGGCATGGTGGCCGGCTGGGCAGAGAGACCCAAAAGTGAGGCTTGTGGGAAGGAACTCGTGGGAACGAGTTCTCTGTTGCAGTGCAGTGGGATTGGTGCTGAGATCAACGAGACCCCGGCTCCGCTGGGATTGGGGCATCCAGAAGTCTCCCAGCCCAGAGGCAAGAAGGTGGTCCCAGGCCCAGGCACGGCAGGCAGGTACAGCAGGTGTATTGGTGGAAAGGAAAGGGTTTGGCTTGCTTCGCCCTGCAGAACAGCACAGGAGGATGAGACCAACATCGATGGCCAGATTCAGATGGTCAGGGGCTTGGAGGTCATGGGGAAGGGGCAGGACTTGCTCTGCAGGGCTGTCCACGGCCATCCCTAGGGGCTGAGGCTCTCAGCTGTGCCTGAAAACTCAAGGCTCAGTGCGCCGTCTTTCTTGGAAGTGTGCTGGGGTCGCAGCGGTCCCACCACACACAGAGATGGAGCACCTGTCTCTGCAGGGGCTGCCGAGCAGAGAGCAGGGAAGCATGTGCCGAGCTGGGGCGTGGGAGGGGATGGATGAGACTCCAAGCAGCCTAGAGACACCTGCGGGAGCCTGAGTGTGAGCTACAGTGTGCCAAGGGCTCTGCTCAAAATCATCGAGAACCAAGTGCTGTTCTGTTGCGTCTTGGGACAGGCAACTCTTCCCACTTCTCTTTCAGCATTGTAAAAAAAAATCACTGTTTTTTAACACAAGCACATGGTGATGGGTTTGCACTATATGCACGTGCCCCCAAAGCAAGCATCCTATGGCTGCTACAGCAAGATGTTCCCATAAAAAGAAATGGGCAGTGGGGTCAGCACTGTGGCATAGCAGCTCCTGCCACCACCTGCATTGCCAGAATACTGTATGGATGCCGGTTCAAGACCCGGCTGCTCCACTTCTGATCCAGCTCTCTGCTATGGCTTGGGAAAGCAGTGGAGGATGGCCCAAGTCCTTGGGTCCTTGTACCCACAGGTGCAGGACCCTGAAGAAGGCAGGATTAAAAAACAATAGGCGCTGGTGCCGTGGCTCAACAGGCTAATCCTCCGCCTAGCGGCGCCGGCACACCAGGTTCTAGTCCAGGTCGGGGCACCGGATTCTGTCCCGGTTGCCCCTCTTCCAGGCCAGCTCTCTGCAAGGGCCTGGGAGTGCAGTGGAGGATGGCCCAAATGCTTGGGCTCTGCACCCCATGGGAGACCAAGATAAGCACCTGGCTCCTGCCGTTGGATCAGCGCGGTGCGCCGGCCTCGGCGGCCATTGGAGGGTGAACCAACAGCAAAAGGAAGACCTTTCTCTCTGTCTCTCTCTCACTGTCCACTCTGCCTGTCCAAAAAAAAAAAAAAATAAGCATTTGCTGTCTTAAAGCTTCATATTTCCTGTGAACATAAATGATTTAGATCAAGGAAAGTATTCTGTTTCCACAAGCTACTGAGGACAGCTCGGAGGATTACAACTTTCTGTTGTGCTTGCTTCCCTATCATGAGTTTCAGGGGTCAGAAAGCATTTGCTTGAATTTTCTTTTATATTCTAAAATCAATTTCGAAACTGGCATTATGAATAGATGCATAGTGCAGGAAGTGTAAGCCCTCTAGGGACCCCGCAATGTGCACATTTTGGCACCAGCCTCTGAATGCAGCTGATGTCACTGCCTTCTTAGTCACCAAGAAGGACACTCAGGTTGTACAGGGGCTGATTTTAAGAAGGCACCATGAGGCCGGCACTGTGGTGCAGCGGATTAAAGCCCTGGCCTGAAGCGCCAGCATCCCATATGGGTGCAGGTTCTAGTCCCGGCTGCTCCTCTTCCCATCTGTGGCCTGGGAAAGCAGTGGAGGATGGCCCAGGTCCTTAGGCCCCTGCACCCACGTGGGAGACCCGGGAGAAGCTCCTGGCTCCTAGCTTTGGATTGGCTTAGCTCCAAGTGAACCAACGAATGGAGGACCTCTCTCTCTGTCTCTACCTCTCTCTGTAACTCTTTCAAATAAATAAAATAAATCTTTATTTAAAAAAAAGAAGGCATCACTTGCTTAGTTCTGTGAACCAAAATATTTTCCAGATAGTGCAATCAACACGGTTTTTCTGACAGGGCTGTGGAGTAGCAGATAAAGCCATCACCTGCAGTGCTGGCATCCCATATGGGCGCCAGTTCGAGTCTCTGCTGCTCCACTTCAGATTCAGCTCTCTGCTATGGCCTGGGAAAGCAGTGGAAGGTGGAACAAATCCTTGGGCCCCTGCACCTGTGTGGCAGACCTGGAAGAAGCTCCTGGCTCCTGACTTCAGATGGGTGCAGCTCCATCCATTGCAGCTATCTGGGGAGTGAACCAGCAGATGGAAGACCTCTCTCTGCCTCTACTTCTCTCTGTAACTCTGCCTTTCAAATAAATCAATAAATCTTTTTTAAAAAATACAGTTCTTAAAAATTGTATGCTGAAACTGGTGTGATTTGCAACTGTCATTAATGAAAGCTATATTTAGATGCTAATCTGAAGTCACTGTCCTGTTCTCTCTGACTTTATGGCATACATTTAAACCAAGAACTAGGACATTTGAAGAGAAGGCCAATTGGCTAAAAGGAAACAGAATGAAAGAGCAGTTTGACAACCACAGAAATAATCCCTCTCCCCATTTGACAGATGAGAAAAATGCGATTCTTTTTTAAAAGATTTATTTGTTTATTTGCAAGTCAGAGTTTCACAGAGAAAAAAGGAGAGGCAGTGACAGAGAGAGAGAGAGAGAGAGAGAGAGAGAGGTCTTCCATCGGCTGGTTCACTCCCCAAATGGCCATAATAGCCAGAGCTGTACAGATCTGAAGCCAGGAGCCAGGAGTTTCTTCCAGGTCTCCCATGCGGGTGCAGGGGCCCAAAGACTTGGGCCATCTTCTACTGATTTCCAAGGCCACAGCAGAGAGCTGGATCAGAAGTGGAGCAGCTAGGACTTGAACTGGTGCCCATATGGGATGCCAATACTGCAGGCATCCGCTATGCCACAGCACTGGCCCCAAAAAACTGTGATTCTAAGACAAGAATTACTAAGTCATGGACCAAGGTATCAACAGAGCCAAGGTTAATGCTATGTATTCTCTCCTCACTTCAAGATTTCTATTTTTAACACTTATTTTTTTATTTGAAATGCAGAGAGAGAGAGAGAGAGAGAGAGAGAGAGGGTGGGAGGGAGAGAGAGAGATCTTCTATCTACAGGTTCACTCCCCAAATGACTGAAACAGCCAGGGCTGGGTCAGACCAAAACCAGGAGCCGGGAACTCCATCTAGGTCTCCCACATGTGAGGCAGAGACCCAAGTACTTGGCCATCTTCTGCTGTCTTCCCAGGTGCATTGACAGGGTGCTGGATCAGAAGCAGAACAGCCAGGACTTGAACCACAAACATCCACATTGGATGCCAGCATTGGCATCGCAAGTGGCAGCTTAACCAACCCATTGGTTCCTTTCCTTAAGCAGCTCAGGAATGAGCTGAGTTCTCAAATTCACTTCTAAACTCAAAGAACACTAGGATCTGACTAGCCACACACACACACACACACACACACACACATCTATATATTTATTGATGGTAAAAAAAAATTGTAAAGATTAAATAAGATCCAGATATTTCCATGGCGTGGAGACCAGCTGGCGGACGCTGGGCCCCTCCTGGCCACTCCAGTTCTCCCCAGCACACGTGAACTGCCCGGAGCATGTTGCTGACAGATTCAGAGTAAACATTTGGGCAATGCTGTCCAATGCAAGGGACCTGGCTGGCAGGCAGGGGCCAATGTCCACATCCCAGTTTCATCACCTGCTCGCTGACCATCTAAGGCTATCCAAACACATTGGATCTGGATTGGCAAAAAAAAAAAAACAAAATGAGCCATGAAAGGAAAGGCCATTTTCTTCCTTAGCTGGAGACAGGCGTGCATGGGAGCGACAGAGAGGAAAACGAAGGAGCAGCAGCAGTGAATGGCCACTGACCATGGACATGGACCGAGAGCTCCTTGGTGTCATTGTGCAGGTGCAGGCTGCTGGCCGCTGGGCTGTCTACTTTCTTCCCAGCATGTGAAAGGCAGCGTGGGGCCTGCAGTTCCACCCTCTGAGTCAATGCACCTGGCCTGCGCGCTGGCCCTGGGACAGCAACCTGTGGAGCTTCCATCCTGAGCGTACCAGGAGGCTAACGTCCCTGTAAGTCCCTAAAAACACAGGTTCAGCTCCCCTGATCCCCAAATGCTCCGAAATCAGAAACTGTCTGAGCAGCATGATGCCAGCAGTTATAAATGCCACACCTGACCTCAGGTTGCAGTCAAAATGCAGGTGCTTCAACAGTAGTATCTAGAATGACCTTCAGACTACACATAAGAGGTGCATATGAAGTGTAAATGACTTCGGTCCCATCCCCAGAGTATTTCACTGTGTATATGCATATATATTTCAAAGGCCAAAAAAAAAAATCCGAAATCTGAAACATCTGTGGTTCTTTGGATAAGGTACCTGTAAGCCGGTCATTGCGTTCTGTACAACTCACAGGCGAGGAAAGCAGAGCAGGAACTGCTCCCTGCTTTGCAGCTGAGCAAAGCCCCATGGTTAACCTAAAGCCGGAGAGACAGCGCGACCCAAGAGTCCCAGTTCTTTCCCCCTGCCATCTCAGAGGAGAAAGCTCTGATTGACAAGGCGCTCTGGGCTTATCAACTCACCGAATGCATCCGTAGGCAGAGAGCTGGGGGAACTTTGGTCAAGCCGGCAAACAACCAGCAGATTCAGCCCAACGTCAGCGGCCGGTGTTCTCTGCTCTCACTGATCTCTCTCTGAGCACCCAGGTGGGCTCCAGGTACGGCTGGGTGCCTGCCTTCTTGGCTTTCGCTCTGCTCCTGTTTAGGGGGCAGTGTGACAGCGCAGTGCATTAATAAAGATAAGAGAGGCCGTAGCTACCAGACAGAGCTTTCAAAAGCCCTCCTCCCCCTCCCTCCCCGCGGTTTCCCGGGCTGCACGGACACAACAGGGACACACAAGGTCACCGTTGCGGGAATATTACTGCCCCGCGATCATTGTCATTGTAATGTCTATTCAGCCGCCCCTTTGTAAGTTCCTAGAGGGCAGGGACCGTGTCTTGGGCTGCCTTTCATGAATTCATGCCTTCCTGCCTCCATTCACTCACCCTGCAAACATTTACTGAGTGCAGCCCTCGCGGGGCCGACCACGGAGCCGAGGACCAGGAGATGCAGCCAGGCCCTGGCTGCCAGCCCCCGGCCACCGCTCTGGGAACGCAGTCCCAGTGGGGCACGGGTTGTGCCATCTGCAGCAGCCAAAGAGCCCACGAGGCGACAGGTGGTCTCCTCGCCTTGCGACTTTGTTTCATGCAAACTCCGAGAGTGCTCTTGAATTTCTTGTATATCAAAAAGAATCGAATAAAATCAACTTTTAGCACCTATGCAGTTAAATCCACAATTCTACCTTTCTCATCCTGGCCCGCCCATTTGAATCATGCATGGCAGGGGTAGGGGGGTGGGGCCATTCCACTGTTGATACCGGGGCTCCCTGCATATCTGGCTGGGTTTAATGAACCTGAGTGGGCATGAAAGTGTTTTTTGTTTTTTTTTTTTTGTTTTTTTTTTTTTGTTTGTTTTTAAGGTCAGCAGGTGGCTTTAAGCTACCACCGATCCCATGTGAACCCCATTCACAGGATGGAAGGTTCTGGACTTGGGAGCATGAGTTGCTCCTAGATTTATTTATTTGTGCACCTGCCCAGATTGTCTGGACTCCAAGATCCTGAAACTCCAAGTCCTAAGCCCGTTTTCCACCTGCTCCCGAGCGAGCAGCTGGACTCCACACCTGCCTGCCCAGGTTGTACCGTTTTTGCCTGTGTACCCAGAACATACTTCTGTGCCTCAGCCCATGGGCCTTCCGCCTCAAAACGTGCCCTTTCCTCTGTCTCCTCAATGCCCTGGGTCTCCACTCCCTGGATTTCAGGTCTTCACTCCCTCTGCCTGGAGAGACATCTCTACGTCTCTCTCTTCAGCGTCTGGCCTGCGTGCAGGCAGGCAACGAGAACAAAGCTGGCTCCTGGAAAACGCCATTCGAAACCACCACAGGGTCCCACATCACATGCAATGTGATGGCTATAACTCGATCTGGAGAATTCAAGTTTTGGAGGGCTGGAGGTAAACAAAACCCTTGCACGCTGTTTGTAGGAGACTAAATTGGCGAATCCTCAAAAAATTTCACATCACATAACCCCTCGACCCAGGATTTCCTCTCCCAGGTGTGTACTCAAAAGAACTGAAAACAGAGACTCTGTACAAAGCATGTCCATGGAGGCATTGTTCCCAGTAGCCCAAAGGTGGTAGCAATCCAAATGGCTGGATATATTCATGAATACTGCACTTGACACACACACACACACACACACACACAAGCATACATGCACACAGCACTCATGCAACATACATTTAATAGATTACCTTACAATGCATATCATTATGCCAAAATTGAAATTGAAATTGCAGGGGGAGGGTCCAGCACTGTGGCATAGTAGGTTAAGCCTCCACCTGCAGTGCCAGCATCCCATATGGGCACCGGTTCAAGTCCCGGCAGCTGCACTTCCTATCCAGCTCTCTGCTATGGCCTGGGAAAGCAGTAGAAGACGGCCCAAGTGCTTGGGTCCCTGCACCCATGTGGGAGACCTGGAAGAAGGTTCTAGCTCCTGGTTTGGGATTGCTCAGCTGTGGCCGTTGTGGCCATTTGGGGAGTGAGCTAGCAGATGGATGTTCCCTTTCTCTGTCTCTCCCTCTCTCTGTAACTCTGCCTCTCAACCAAATAAATAAATCTTTTAAAAAAAGAAAGAAATTACAGGGGACGATGAAAAACATAAAGAAATTTCTCTTTTCTGGAGTCCCCGATGGGGACCATCCATCTTCTAGAACATTCCTCGAATTGTTTCTCTGTGCCTGGAAATTCAGAATGTTGAAATCTGAACTGGTTTCCCCACCCCCATCTTTGCTCTACTTCCTGGCTTCAAAGACCTGTTGGATTTAAGGAAAACAGTTTGTTACATTCTGGTGTGCCATTTAAGTGATGATTCTGGTCCCACGATTCCTCTGAAGAGCTAGGAAGGGGCTGTGCATTCCTTCCATGAGGTCCTTCTACCGTGAAGTCATAATGACATTGAGGAGGCATCCATGGTGATGACCAGGGGAAGACACCACCCAACCTGGGCTCCCGCAGTAGGGGTGGGCCTGAGGGAGGGGGTCAGGGAACTAGGCCACAGACTCAGAAACGGGAAAGAGCTGTAAGCACAGAGCTGTTTTCAACTCTGCACGTAGTTGAGACTCCCACACATCCAACCTGGTCTTTGGCTCTGGTCAAACCCAAGTCCCCTTGGAGAGATAAAGAAATCTGTGTCCCAAGAGCCCCAGCAATGCAGGAGATAACACAACAGGCAGGGCTGGCGTCAGTCTCGGGTCTCCTGTCTGCCGGTCAGGGATTTAAGAGTGTGTTTCAAGGACAGCGTCAGTGGCTAAGCAGATACCTGTGCTAGCCATTGGGAAGGGAGTCTGAGATGGGCCAACTCCATTCCTGCTATAACAGCCGTAGAGAGAAGACCAGGGTGTCTCACCCCTGAGCCTGAAGGAACCTCACTGAACCTGGAAGAACAGGAGAAATGAATCCTTAATTGAGAATTTTGATTTATTAAGCAAACAGGTTTTTTTTTTTCCTTTTTACAAAAAGAAAACTACATATTGGTTTCATCATTTCTCAAATCTCGACTCTTCTATGTTTATTTAAAGATTTATTTTACTTATTTGAAAGTCAGAGTTAGAGAAAGAGAGAGAGAGAGATCTTCCACCTATTGATTCACTCCCCGAAATGGCCACAGTGGCCAGAGCTGGGCCAGGTTAAAGCCAGAAGCCAGGCATTTCTTCAGGGTCTCCCACATGGGTGCAGAGGCCCAAGCACTCGGGCCATCTTCTGCTGCTTTCCCAGGCCATCAGCAGGGAGCTGGATCAGAAGTGGAGCAGCCGGGACTGGAACCAGTGTCCATATGGGATGATGGCATTTGAGCCCCAGCTGGTACACTTCCAATCCAGCTCTCTGTTGTGGCCTGGCAAAGCAGTAGAAGATGGCCCAAGTCCTTGGGCCCCTGCACCCACATGCAAGACCTGGAAGAAGCTCCTGGCTCCTGACTTTGGCCTGGATTGGCATGGCTCCAGCAGATGAAAACTCCCTCTCTCTCTCTCTCTGCCTCTCTGTCACTCTTTCTTTCAAATAAATAAATAAATAAATAAGTCTTTTAAAAAAGAGAGAGAGAGAGAGGGAGGCTTCTCAGTTAGGAACAGCTGATCCAGGAAGAACAACATCACCAGTAGTTATAGCATTTGAACGAATATTGAAATTCCCCTTACGAGAAGAGGAGCAGGCAGAAAACCAAACACCATAAGCAAGGAAGGCTTTGACAGACGTGGCGCTCTGTGAAACTGTTGGAGGGCAGACCCAAGACCCATGTACCCTTTCTCCAAATGTGCACAGGCAGAGCGGCTCTGCCGGAGGATGAGGTATGAAATAACAGGAGGCAGGCGGTGGCTTTCCCTTGCGGGTGAGCAGACAGCAGACGGGCTGGATGGGGCCATGGTCTGGACAGAGGCTTTTCCACGGAACAGGTACGAGACAGATGGTTTGTTAAACATTGCCAGCATACTTGAGCAGTGCCATTCGGCGGTCACAGCCGGGATAATGGTCACAAGGGCATTTGGGGAGCACATTGGCTGATTCCAGCCCAGTTAAAGCCGTTGCTTATCTCTGTTGGTTTTCTGCAAAGATTAAGGCTGTTTTTTCTGCTTTCAATGTGCCCCAGCTGTCCAGCACAAGCATTCTTGCAGTTGGCTCTGATTCCCGCCCATGGAGAGGGGGTCGTGCAGAAGTTGGCCCTGCCAAGACTCACTTTGTGCAAAGCAGAGGTGGCTTCCCCTCAAGCGATCTGGACCCTTGTGGATTCTCCCTTCCCTCCGGAGTTGCACTGCCCACCCTCGCGCAGCTGCCGTGGGTGTGTGTTTCCTAGACTTCTGGTTCCTATTGGGACAGATGCATTTGCCACATTTGCGGGAAAGGGTAAACACCGTCGTAAATTCCATCCGCTGAATCATGGGGAGGCGGTGGTTCCAATTAAATGTGTTTGCTTTCGGAAGGGGGCCCTTGGCTTCTTATCTTTATGTACAGAAGAAAATAGAGCTCAACCCAGGCCCTGCAACCAATGGAAACGCAACTGGCCTGTCAGCTGTTGAGGCCAGTCCCTGCTGCTCCGGCTCCGCAGACTCTGTGTTTGCAGACAAAGGGAGAGGGTGTTGTGGGCAATGCAGAAGGAACCGGCCCCTCGGTGGTGCAGGGTGGGAGGCACGGAGGCACGGCCGTCTCCTGGGTCTGTTAGGAACCAGCAATGGTTTGATGCGTTGGGGCATTTCCGAGAGTTCTGATGGATTCATTTGGTTTTATAGGTGGTGCGTGGCTACCGCCTGCCCACTGCGTAAATGCTGTATTGACTTGGGGCAGCTCCCCCAGCCTGAATTAGACCATCACCAGCTATAAAATTAAGAAGCTGTGCCCAGGATAAAAGCCCTAAAACTAGCCTTTTTTTTTTTTTACAGGCAGAGTGGACAGTGAGAGAGAGACAGAGAGAAAGGTCTTCCTTTACCATTGGTTCACCCCCCAAAGGCCGCTGCGGCTGGCACGCTGCGGCCAGCACACCGCGCTGATCTGAAGCCAGGAGCCAGTTGCTTCCTCCTGGTCTCCCATGCTGATGCAGGGCCCAAGGACTTGGGCCATCCTCCACTGCACTCCCGGGCCACAGCAGAGAGCTGGCCTGGAAGAGGGGCAACCG